AGCCCAGCCCAGCCCAGCCCAGCCCAGCCCGCCGCCCTTCCCCTTAACGGCAGAAGCCACCGTGACGTGGCGCACTGCTTTCCAGCATCCCGGGCCACGTGTGCACTCACCGACATGGGAATTGTACAGGCCGCCGGAAACCAGGCCTTTTTTGGTCCAGAAGTTCCAAGCTCCAGAGGGATAGCCACCATTACAGCTTTAATTAAATGAAAGGTTTCTGTGACATCCACCCCCCCCCCAGTTCCAGCTGCTCCCAGTCCCCACCTGGCCCAAGGACCAGGGTCATCCCCTCAGAAGCCACCACCGCCTCCCCACCCATCCTCCCTCTTGGACCGCTCCTCCAGGCCACTGCCCTGCCTGCTTGGCCTCTCCGGAGGATACAAGGTCTCTCCCGTTCAGGTCCACCTGTAGCCCAGGTGGTCACTTGGCAGGCATTGTGGGTCTCAGCCCCACAGATGTGGGCCTGCAGGGTGTGTCCCCAGGAAGCCCTTATTTTATTTATTGATAATGGCTCCAGATCAGTAGTGTGGGTGGTGCTGCACCCAATGAGTCCTTCAACCCCGAGGCTGAGGAAGGGCTCAGCAGAGCAAGCTAGCTCCTTCCCACATGCTGCACTGCCAGGGAAATGGCCACTGTGGGCCGAAGACTGCACTGTGCACTGACTGCACTGTGCACTGTGCAGTGGATTCGCGGGCTCGCTCCGGCCTGGCCACGCCCTGCTTTCAGGCACCCACTGCGGGCGTTGGGCGCATCCCAGCTGTGGGTGAGGGGGGCGGCACGTAGGAAAACCCACTATGCTGGTGATGCTGGTCTCACTGGGATGGGGTGAGCCCAGGAGCCTTGTCGCACACCATGGTACAGCCCCAGGGCCATGGGTGCCCCTGTTTTGCTGTCAGCCTTCATTAGGATGAGGAACGGGCTCCAGGGCCAGGGCTTCCCTTCAGCACAAAAACCAGATCAGGAATCTGAAATGTAACCCAATTTGCTAGGCCATTTTTTTTTTTCGGCCTGGATTCTACCCAGCTCCACAGGCAGTGACTTCGCCCAGGAGTGCATCCTCAGTCCCCCTTGGCTGCCCCCGGCCCGCCGGGGCTGGCCCTCACCCGTCCCCACACTGGCTGCCACAGCAGGTGAGCAAGTCCTCCGCGGAGGTCTCCACGTTCACGTGCCCGTTGGTGTGGATGCAGATCCGGTCAGAAATAGCTTCCACAGCTCCAAAAGCCTGCGGGAGAAAGGAAGGAAGTGTCAGGAGGTGCACGGTGTCCTGCCCCTGGGGACTCAGGCCACCCCCAGGAAGCTCACGGAGCATGATATCTGTACACACACAGCGCAGAGGGGACCGGAGCTGGAGGGAGTCAGGGTTGAGGGGTACCGAGTGCCAGTATGGGGAGATGAAAAGATTTGTGGATGGACGGGGAGCTGGCTACACAACTCCAGGAAAATACTTAATGCCTCTCCATGGCACTCTGAAAAGTGCTTATGATGGTTGGGCGCCGGTGGCTCACGCCTGCCATCCAGCTACTCAGGAGGCTGTGAGCTGAGGATCATGGTTTGAAACCAGCCCAGGCAGAAGTTTCTAGTTCTTTTAACTCCAGTTAACTGCAAAAAGCCAAAACTGGAAGAGTAGCTCAAGGGGTAGAATTCCAGTCTTGAGTGAAAAAGCTAAAGGACAAGACCCAGGCCCTGAGTTAAAGTTATAGTACTGGCGTGCGCACATGTGCGCGTGCACACACACACACACACACACACACACACACATTTTCTTGGGGGTGGGGAAGGGGAGAAAGATAGGGGAGAAGGATGGAAGGGATGACATTGATCAGGCTGCACAGTGCTCATTAACTGATTTGTTGAGCTGAAACCCCTCTGTGCAATTGCTTAGAGATACTTTTTTAAATAAAAAAAAAGGTTAATAACAAAGAAGACCACACTAAAGCTACCAGCACAACTATGTTTACTGCAACATTATTTACCATAGCTAAGATATGAAACCTACCCAGATGCCCCTCAGTAGATGAATATATCAAGAAAATGTGGTATATATACACAATGGAATTCTATGCCTTCATCAGAGAGAATGACATTGCCCCATTTGTTAGGAAATGACAAGAGATTTGGAAAAGATTATATTAAGTGAAGTAAGCCAGGTGCAAAGAAACATAGGTCCCATGGTTTCCCTTATTTTTTCTTTCTTGCTATTGTTTCTAACGTATTTATAAGGTACCACGTGATTTTTTGTTGCTTTGTATGTCCCTCCCCCACGGTATAACCCCTGCTTTCACTGTATTTGATGTTGGTATAATTTGGGGAGAGGAAGGGAAAAACAAATAGGGATACAGGTTGACCCATGGCAACACTGAGATATACAAGATGCTATGTCGAAAAACGAACTTTACAATGTAGGCGGGAGGGGGGAGTGTAATTGAGGAGGTGGGAGGGAAGGGATGGTAAGGGAAAAACAAAAGATGCTTGATAAGAAATGTATTCATTACCTTGCTCTTGTGTCTGTAACTCCTCTGTACAGTATTTTCACAATAAAAAACTTATTTAAAAAAATGGTTAAGCTGACTGCATTATAAGCACAATTCAAAAACAACATGAAGATGCTTGTTCACAGTGATGGCTACTCAGAAGCAGTGAACAAATGTCACAACGCAGACACGCAGGCCTTGGGTCTGCAGATGGTGGTCCTGGTTATATTATGCCACCCAGGCCCTGCATAACTCCTCACCGCAGGAAGTGCGGCATCTTTGGTCCCTCCCCTCCATGCCAACACCCTGCCAGGGGCCAGCATGGACTTACCCAGCAGGAGCCACAGGAGCCCTGGTCTCTGATCTCCTTGATGGTGGGGCAGTTGGGCCAATGTTCCCGTGCATCGAAGCTTTCAGGTAGATCTATGTCCTCAGCGAACTGAACTCTGGAAACAGGAAGCTGTTCATTACACACGCCCATCCTCCTCCCTCCTCCCTCCTCCCTCCAGTCCCTGCAAAAGCCGCTCAGGAGACAGCAGCTGGCCTTGGCCTGGGCTGCACTCCCCGAGTAGAAGTAGGCAGGGAGGTTTCCTTCAGAACTCCTCTTGCTCTCTGGGATGTAGCTCAGTGGCAAAGCACTTGCCTTGCAAGTGCAAGGTCCTGGGTTTGATCCCCAGTTCCAAACAACGAAAAGACAAAAAAAAATGCAGAATCCCTCTAAATTTGTGAAGACTTGATTAATGAGTAATTGCAAGAATCCTATCCATAGACTCTCTTTCTTTTTCCCCCAGCCCATTCCTCAGTCATGAACACCTGTTCAGGTGCCTCAAGAGCTCTTTCTGCAGGCAAACCCTCAACTACAGAGTTTTGTGTGTGTGTGTGTGTGTGTGTGTGTGTGTGTGTGTGTGTGTGTGTGTGTGTGTGTGTGTGTGTGTGTGTGTGTGTGTGTGTGCCTGCGCGTGCGCGGGCTAGTTCAGGGGACTGAACTCAGGGCCTGGGAGCTGTCTCTGAGCTTCTTTTGCTCAAGGCCACAGCTCTACTTCTGGCTTTTGGTAGTTTTAGTGGAGATAAGAGTGTCATAGCCTTTCCTGCCTGTTTCAAACCATCTCAGCCTCCTGAGTAGCTAAGAGTATAAGGGTGAGCCACCGGCGCTGGGTGACTGGAAGGCTTTCTAGAAAAATAAAGCACCAAAGGCAGTTCCTGCGGCCTGTCTGTCAGGTGTTCCTTGCGGAACTGGGTCCGTGCACGCCTCCTCTCCACTCCTGCCCTGGCCTGGGAGAGGTGGGGAGGAACCGAAAGCTCCTCTCCATCCTCGGGAGCGAGGCCTCCTCTCCCCTCCCCACGTCCCACACTGCGGCTAGGGAGCAGCGCCCAGGGCTGGCCCTCACCTCTCAGGCAGCCGAGGCCCACCCAGGAGGGTGCCACACAGCTTCTTCAGGTAGCTCACATCCACGTTGTAGAAGTTGTGTCCAGCCTGGAAGAGAGCCACAACCCACAGTCACCACCCACACACGCTGCTCGCACCGGCCAGGCTTGGGGAGCTTGGGGGGCCACAGAGGCCAGGTATCAGCAAGGGGGAGCCATGGGTGGAGTGTGTGGCTCTCATTCCAGTGGTGTCTTCCTTGATGGGCCTCCATTTGAGGACAAGAGACTTGCCTCGTGCTGCATCTGCAGCCTGCAGTCCCAGGCTAAGGCCACAGGAACGGGGAGGGGCGGGCAGGACAACTGAACCGCCACACCTTACCTGGTGGGCTTCCCGGGACCCACCCGGCCGTGGACTTTTGTACTCTCCATGCACATACGTCTGCACACGTGCGCGTGCGCGCGCGCACACACACACACACACACAGCATGTATGTGACAGAGAAGAAGTGGGTGTGGTCCTGGGTTTCACCTTCCAGGAGGCAGTGTCCTGTGGCCACAGGTAGAGCCACCTCCCTCAGGAGCCAGCATACATAAGATGTTCCGAGGAGGGGATGCGGGGACACACAGGCACCCACACAAGCGGACAGACAGCCGTAGCCCGAGGCCCACCTGCCACGTCGTGTTCTGCTTGTTGATGTAGTTGAGCAGCTCGTCTGACAGCGGGCGGAAGGAAAGCCGGCTCTGGGCACTGGTCAGCACCAGCAGGCAGCACAGGAAGGCTAAGGAGTGCCACATTCTGGAAGCTGGGTCCTGGACTCACCTAGAAAAGACAACGCCGGAGACATCATGCCGGGTCCTGCACACGAGGATGCGGAGAAGCCGACGCCCCATGCTGGATGTGCCGTGAGCACCCCCTCTGTGCAGTAGGACAGGAGACGCTCCAGGACAGGACTCCGTGCCTGCAGCCCAACCACAGTGTGCTGCCCCTCCAGGCCAGCCCAAGGGCTGTGCGGTGACTCCATTACACCAGTGCTCTCCTGGCTGGGGGGAAGGGGGAGAAGGGGGTGTCCCAAGACTTCACCTTAGTGCAGTGCCCAGGCTCTGTCCCTTAGCTTTTTCCACTCAACGTGGATTGCTCTACCACCGAGCCACAGCTCTACTTCTAGCTTTTTGGTGATTCACTGGAGATAAGAGTCTCACTGACTTTCCTACCCCTGCTGGCTTCAAACCTTGATCCTCAGACGTCAGCCTCCTGAGTATCCAGATTATAGGCGTGAGCCACCAGTGCCCTGCCCTCTTGGCTGTTTCTAAACAGCCTAGGTTTGTTGAACAAAGTCAGAGAGAATGTTGCCCTTGGTGATCAGGGAGAAAACAGATCACAGGGGTGGGGGGGGGTGCTGCGGATTACACCTATGGGTCCACAGGAGAAGAAAACACAACAGGCAGGTGCACGAGGTACAAACCCCATTCCACCGGTTTCAAGCACACACAAGCTGGGTTTGTGCCAGGAGTGGGGGCTAGAAGCAGGGCTAGACGTGCCAACGGCACAGGGCCTAGGCGTCTGTCTGGCTTTTCCTGTTGGCCAAGGCTCTGCTTCTGGGAAGGGCAGCCATCACACGAACACCCTGGTCCTCTGACTTTGAACCAGTGACTTCTAGCCCGACCCATGAATCACCGTCTTGGGCAAGCAGCTACCCAAAGCCAGATGTTTCCTGCCTGTGGCACCTGCGGGGGCTAGTAAGGCGGGCACAGCTGGTGTGGTGGGCGTCCTGACCTTGGGGCTGCAGCGGCGGCGGGCAGGGGGCCACAGCTGGTGTGGTGGGCGTCCTGACCTCGGGGCTGCAGCGGTGGCGGGCAGGGGAGGCTCGGGACCAGCTCCCGCAGCTTAGAAAACTGTCTGTCACAAAATTCCCTGTGTTTTTGCCCAAACTGGCCTTGAAGTCTCCACCCTCCTGCCTCAACCTCCCAAGCGCTGGGATTCCAGGCACAGAATTCTCCCTGAGGGAAAACTCAAACTTAGCCGTTGCTTAAGTTCAAGTTACACATTCGTGTCAGTAGGCAGCAGAGGACAGAACACTGGGCTCCGTGTCCAGTGACTCATAAAAGTCTGAAGTTAAGCAATCATATTGGAAAGGACAAATGTGTAAGGGCAGAAAGAGTGTTCTGGTAAAGGCCTGCCTCAATGTTATAATGTATCTTAACATGCCACCCACAAAACCATCACCTGACACTCCGCTCATCCTCGGGGTAGCGACAGAGCATCCGTGGGCTGGTAAGTGACACTGCCACTGCCACGCCCTCACCGCTGGCTGCCAGCCTGGGAAAGCCAGGAAGGCTGAACTTCCCTGGAGCGCCAGTCACCACTCAACACAAGCACGGGATCTGCGCCCGCCACGGCGCATGTGGGTACACGTCAGACCCTGGCAGCCCTGCTGCGGGGCCTGACAGGATGGCCAACACACCCCAGGCCTTCAGTGTCCCAGTACCTACACACAGTCATCTGCTCGTCACCAGAGAGACTTCCTCACTAGAGATTTTCTGCTCAGCACATTTAATGTCTGCATTGCCAGTAGCTCACGAGGAAGCTGGGTCTCACATGACGGTGAGTCAGCTACACCCGTGGCCTCCAAACTTAAGGTAAATGGGTTTCCTGGGCAGACATGCCAAGAACAGGCAGACCAGACCACGGGTCCTGTGCTGGGCTGGACTACACAGCAAGAGTGTGCCTAAAAATAAGAAGAAGAAAAAAAAAACCCACAGATATCGAAACGAACTCCAGGAAATGGAAATGAAAGAGAGACAGACAGACGAGACAGAGCTCACCAGAAGAATGGAAACAGCACAGTAGGAAAAAGCATACAGTGACCACAGAAAAACTACCAATGGCCAATGTCTAACATAAAAATGTCTAACACCTCAGAAGAGGCAAATAAAATCCAGAGTTAGATGGCCAAAGGTCAGGGGGTGGGGCACTCCCAGGGGGAGGCTGTGGGGAAACAAACCAAAGTTGACAGAAAACCCTGGGGGTTTTCTGTACTTCTGTAGGGAAGTACAGCTTTGGAGGCCAGCCTGGGGGCGGTCAGTCAACTTTCAACCCTGCACGTGTGGGCTGGCACCGTGCCGTTCAGAAATCCACCCTGCAGACATGAGGTGGCATCTGTAAAGGCGCAGTCCCCCCGTCCACCGACGCTGGCTCCTGCAGCCATGGAAAGGAGCGCAGCCATGAACGCAGCAACTCTGGGAAATGTCACACACAACTCAAAGCAGCCACTGAGAGGGAACTGGTTGAAGGGAAACACGTTGTCTCAGGGATCACCCTGGGAGGTGGGGAAAAGCCAGGGGATGCAGAGCAGGCAGATACAGTCCTGTCCCTGTGAGCAAAGGGCTGAGGGAAATCAAGGTACCGCGGTGCTAACTGTGCTGGGGGTACTCTTCCTCAGTACTGCTGTGGTTGGTGTGGTCTGGGTGACTCCGCAGGTCCATGCATTGAGAGCCGGCCTTCACCAGGGCCGGGTCACAGGACTGACCCTCAGCCTCCCAAACTAAGAGCCGAACAAACATTTAAAGTACCCAGCCTCGGGTGTTTTGTTATAGGAATAGAAATACACGGACATAAATGTCTACTCCTTTTTTCTGTTTTTTAACGTTTTCAATGATTTGTTTCTCCCAGAAGAATCCTATCACTGTTACCAAGGATCTTGACTTCCCCAAATGAACGAGTTACCGACCAATTGCAATAAGCCCGAGAGGCGGTGGCAGTCATCTCCTGGCCGTGAAAGAGATTTGCCTTCTAGACGTTTTCTGCTCATCCCACACAATGTCCACATTTCCGGATCCCATGGGACCATGAGTTGGCCACCACATGACCTCCAAACTGCTAGATAAATGTGTTTGCTGGGCAGACATAAACATTCTGACTTAGATTTAATCTTTTCTCGACAGAAAAGAGGTTCTGGTTGAGTGCTGGTGGCTCCCGCCTGTCATCCTAGCTACTCAGGAGACTGAGATCTGAGGATCACAGTTCAAAGCCAGCCCAGGCAGGAAAGCCCTTGAAACTCTTATCTAATAAACTACTAGAAAACCGGAAGTGGCTCAAATGGTAGAGCGCTCGCCTTGAATTGAAGAGCTGAGGACAGTGCCCAGGCCCAGAGCTCAAGCCTCATGACTCACAAAAAGAAGAAGAAAAGAGGTTGTGGTGCAGGTGGGGCTTGGGGAAGGGCTGACACGTGGAGACAGAGCCCAGGGCCACCTTCCGCACATCACCGTCCCAACCAGGAGGACAGCAGTGTGCGGGTGCCTGCTGGGGGAGGCTGCGCACTCCGAGCTGCTAACTCACAAGCCAAGAGCGGAATAAAAGCGTTCCCATGGCAACTTGAATTTTTAAACAGGATTTCTTTGGTTTCTGTGCTGGCAGAAAACACAAGCACCTCGTCTCCCACCTGCCTTGGGGATTCTGCAGGTCCTGTGGCCTGCGGCTCCCCAACAGGCAGCGAGGGGGACTCTGGTGTGCTGACTCCATTTCCCATGCCCCATTCCACTCTGCTGTCTGCCTCACAGCCCGGGCTGGTGGGGCTGTAGCTCAGTGCAGGCCCACTCACACCGGGCTGAGCACCCAGATGAAGGCTGTAGTCCCTGTGTCTCTGGCATGGACTGGTGGCGTCACAGGGTCTTCTGCTCCTCCCAGAAACACCTGGGATGGGGTTCAAGGGTCTAGCAGCTCTGTAGCTAGTAAGTGGAGAAGCCCTGGGCGTGGGGACCCGCACCTGGAGCCTGGTTCTACCACGAGGGGGCGCCCTCAGGCACAGCCTGAAGGAGTGATCAGCATCAGGCCAGGAGAGGCAGCTTGTTGAGAGCTGCCCACCTGACCCGGTCCAGCTCCGGTGGTCTTTGTCCACAACATGGCTCACAACCATAATTCTAACAACTCAGGAGGGTTGAGGTTTGAAGCCAGCTCAGGCAGGAAAGTTTGTGACTCTTATCTCCCACTGAACACCAAAAAGCTGGAAGTGGATCTGTGGCTCAGTGGTAGCCTTGAGTGAAAAAGCGAAGGGCCAAGGCCCAGATCCTGAGTGCAAGCCCCAGCATGGCACACTCACAGTGCACACTCACGTTAGTGAGAACTCATTTCAACCAAAGAAGCCAGGCATCGTGGTGCCTGTAATCCCAGCTATGGCTGTGGAGGATTACAGTCCAGTCCATCTACTCAATAAAACAAGACTCCACAGGAAAACGGGAGCAAAAAGGGCTGGCGGCTTGGCTCCAGCGGCAGGGGCTTTCCTAGCAAGTACAAGGCCTTGATTTCAAACCCATCATAAAAGAAGGAAGGAAGGAGGAAGGAAGGATGAGAAGAGAGGGAGGAGGTAACAAAGCTCTCAAGGAGACTAGCTTCTAAATCTGTAGAGGATGTGGGAGAAAGGACATATGCATACAGCCTGCCCGCCCTCTCCTATGAAGCAACGTCCCGAACTCGCTCCCATCCCAGCGCTCTGCTCTTCCAGTAGGTCCAGAATACTGCGGACATCTTCCACACCTGCCTCTAAAGACCCAACACAAGACGGGCTCACAGCTTGCCAAGCACCTGGGACTGGGAGGGACCGCGCCCACAGCCGGGCAGAATGGCTGGAGACCAGGGAGGGTGGGAAGGTGGGAGGGTGGAGACTTGGCCAGACCCACTGGAGAGCTTTATAGGTTTCTTCCATAAAAAACTGATCCTTTGGTTTCGACCACTTCAAACGCACCCCAGAACAAGACCATGCAGGCCCCCGGTCCCCCGACTTCGCCCACGTGCGCCTCTGGGCCGATAGTCTCAACTCCCCGGGC